TTCCCTCCTACGATCCGTAGCTTGAGCCCTTGCCTTGAGCTAGTGAGGAATTCTTTGGTCTGTACAAATGCAATGATGCAACATTTGTTCTGATTTCATTAAAAGCAGTTTTGGGTCAGAGAGGGAATCAAATTAATGCAAAACTATTCCTTCAGGGCATCAAAATTCTGAGGAGTTGAATGCCTCAACTACCCTCGAGTTTCAGGGAAACAATAGTCCCAAGCCCCTTACTGTGGGCACACTATACTGATATGCACACTATACTGATAGGCCAGAGACTGACCTGATCCAACTGTTTTGCAATAAGAGACTATACCTTGGGAAAAAATTGTTTTTTAATAAAAACATACCTGTAAAATATTCTCCAAATTCTTGTTCTAATTTAATTGCTCGATCGTAGGTTTTCTTCGCTTGCTCCTCTGTAAGACGTTTATTCATTTCCCTAGAAACACAGAGGAAGTCATCAAAAAGTTTAGATTCTTACCAGAACAGCTTTCTAAAAGATACGTTCAACTGAATCACAGATGGACTGAGATCGGTACAAGAATCAAGCGAGGAAATTCTTCCATCAGTTCATGGGCAGTTTCAGTATTTTAAATTTAATTTCATTCTTATGTAGTATAGACCTACATTTCCAGACTATTTCCCATTTCTCCACTAAACTTTGATTTTGGGTTCACTACTCTACATTCCCAAACAAAATATGAGGCCCAAATCTGGTAACTGCTAACTGAGATGGACTTGTGGCATCAGGAACCCATGGCTAAGTCTGGGAGCCAGGAGGTCTCAAGGTCTGAGTACTCAGAGCACTCCTCCAGAGCTGAAGCTCCTTCAGGAACCTCTCTATCTCCCAGGCCCACAGCTGGCTCTCTCAGCTGAATAAGAATGTCCAAACTGCTGAAGTGGAAGCCGGTTTTGACTGAGGCTGGGGATATGAAGTGAAATCATGATTAAAGGCAGGATTCAGCACACTGAGACTCCTGACCCTAGAAGGAATCCCAGAGACATTATAAACCCTGTAGGGAAGCCCCAGAAGGACCCAGCATGTCTGCCAGGGACACTTCTTGGTTCAGGTGGGGGCATGAGTTCCGGATATCATGAGAAATCAAATTGAGTCTTTCCAGCAGGAAGAGTTAAGATGAGTTATTTATTTATGTTCTCTGTTCCAGTCCTTTCTGATTAACTAGAAAGATTCCCAGTCAAGCGTGTCTTGTAGATTCTAAAACATATAGCGTACCGATAAATGTAAAAACATAGACAGTGTCAGTAACATTCTGTTATTGTCAATGTTTTGTTATTTGATGAAGCATTTCTGTTTCAACCGAAGCATTATTTAATAACTTGAAGAAATGAGTTGTCTTGCCCATGCATGCTCAGCTTTTAATACCACTGTATACTTGCCTTACACATACATGCCTACAGATATTCAAATTAATTAGCAATAATAAATAGAGTTTGCTTCTCCTAGCATTTTTTCACAGCATGGATTCATTTTTCTTAAAACACGATGGAAATTTTCTGAGGCAACTAGGAAAGCAAGAGAAGGAAGTATCTTGTGTTCTACATAAATCTGATTTAATGCCTTGCACTGAATCATATGCTTATGTGGTAATGGACTGTATACAGTATGACATGGGTGATGCATGTAGGAAATTATGTGCATGATGGTGCATAAAAAAATGATCTATGAAGTGCACAACAGTATGAACTTGCTACATCTAACTTCTACTTGGCTTCTGAAAAACACCCTGTAAGGTGTCCAGGATGCAAAAAGGTATTTCTAAAAATTACTTAAAGCTGTCTATCTATATAACTAACCATATAACTGGGAACACTGCTTAGAAAAATCTCTCTGGAAGTACCAATGCAATGCAGAAAGCAGGTTTATAAAATGAAGGATAAGAAAGATTTCTTTCAAAATTTATGACAGTTATTTGTGGATTATATAAATAGGTTTAATATATGCCAATCTGTGTCATGCTGCTAAATTTGTAATACTACTAATTCCATTTATTGGAAAATTGCTATCTAATTGAGTTCAGGTGGGCTTCTCATCAGCTATGCCTACTTGAACATATCTTTAGGCGACTGAACCAAAACTCTGTCTTGAAGTGGGACATACCATTGCAAATTCTTATGCAAACTTAACATTTTCATCTTAAGGACACTCAGCCAATATTCTAGTGCTAACAATATCCTCCTCCTTCCAGAACTATTTCTGGTAAATTTCTGAGGAGTCTTCCTCAAGGTCTTTGAATATCACAGGAGAAAATACAAATAAAAACATAAACAAGCATTTAAAATAGTAAGTACTTTGAAATAAGTAGAAATTTGCATTATATTTTCAGGTTGTAGATTTGCCTGGGGTATAAAACTGGTCCAGTTGTATTCATGCCTCTGCCCACCCCGTGCCTTCAGGAGAGAGGATGGCGAAGGGGGAGGACCATGATGTCCATTTTTCGTGATGAACTAAAAGTGCTGTCAAACCACAGTCCCTTCTAATCTTTTATTTCCTAGCCAGGGACCTGCACAGTTGGTGAATTCAAAGTGCTTGCAAAGAGCTGTCCCTCCAGGCACATTTTTCTCCTCTCCCAGTGAAGACCTCACCCAGGTAGGCTCTTCATTACTTCCAGCTCTCATCCCCATGATCCCTCCTTCTTCTAGAGAAAGAGGCCGATTGAGAGGTACCAACAGGGATGCCTCGGGGATTAAACCTGTAAGATGGAGTCCTGTAGAGGTGGGGAAGGAAGGAAGGGAGAAGGAAGGGCAGGATGACGGAGCAGTTTGTTTACAGCAATTTGATTGCCAGGACTGAATTTAATTGAAGAAAGCAGGATCAGGAGACATCCAGCTCAGACCATGTGTTCCGGCTGCTTTTACATCCAATAGCCCCTTATGGTCTTCCATTGCTGTGGTCATTAGTGTTAGTAGGGTATTTCCAGAGAACCAGCAATAACCAAGTTTCTAGTGCAGGTGCCAGCTTAATTTATGCTCCCTTCACTCTTCTTACCTTCATTGTCAGATGGGTGCAAAGGAGCATCTGCGTAAATGAGAATTAGACTTCAAGTGCTAATTTTGCTGCAAGTTAAATCTTTTGACTTTGTCTCTCTGCATCTTCTGATTAGCAATTTTTTGTCTTTTATGGTTTTACTTTGCTATTACACTAACTTTCAACTCATTTGTATGAACAGGAGTAGTTATGGCAGATAAACCTATAATTTTTCTGTTGTAGTAGTTACATACATAAAAAAGACTGAGTGAACAGAGTTAGGCTGTCATAAAAATGTCCTCTTTCTGTTCCCACAGAGCACTGGTTCACCATGTTAAACTTCTCCATACTAAAATAATAGTATCTGTTGGAAAGGTGTTATATCTGTTCATCTATGCACAGCCTACAACTCACTACCGCTTATGTCAGAGTATGTATTTGTTTAGTCAGACCCGGAGTGATTTAGCTTCATTACTAAATAAAATAAATGATTTTCACAAGAAAGGGGCTCAGCATTATGTCATTACTCTCAAGACAATTCTTTAAAAAGGATGATACCGTTTATATTAAAAGAGTTCTCATTTCTGTTAGAAACTAATTTTGGATACTGTTTGATAAGATAAATGCACATTAGATAGATTAACTAGATAAAAAGATCACTTGTGGAGAGCAGGCTGCAGGGGATAGACTGTTTTAGAGTGCCTGAATTAATTATATTTTTGTCTTTTTTTTTTCAGGAGTTGTATTGTGTTTACATAATTTATTTATATAAGCCATGTTACTGCAAAAAATCCCAAACTAGTACTGATATATAAGGACTTCTGCTGTCCCATGAAAGTTTGGATTTCTAATTAAGGGTGTCTTCCACAGGGTATTTGCACAACAAGGAATTCCAAACTATATAATGGATTTCACTTTGTTTGACCCTACCATACTGTCAACACTGAGGCAGGTTTAGATTTGGACAGTGAAAACCAGCTTACTTTGATTTTTATCAGTAAGAAAAATTCTGCTAACTCTGCATAACTTGTTTTGTCCTAAGTGAAATATTAGCATTACTTTGGTTTAATTACAGGATGATTGTCATAATATTTTGCATCTTCATAACAGTTTTCAGTCAATCTGTTCAAGGATTTGCTGTTCTTACATCAAATCAATGAAGCCTTTATGTTATTGCCACATTTCTGGTTCTGCCTAATGTATTTTTCAGATTAATGGCCACTTTTATTTACTTTTTTTTTTTTTTATCCCTCCAGATGCAATGTCAGCATTAAACAAATAATGGAAATATTTTATGGAAGGGAAAACTGTAGGTTAAGATCTATCTTAAAACAATCAATGCTGAAGGTAGGCTATGAGACTACCCTTCCCCTTCTATACAGCAACATAATCAGAATATAATTGAATTGTAGACTGGAAGAAATGTCAAGAAGTCATCCAACCCAAGATGGCTTTGTTCAGGATGGGGCTGTGCAAGCACCACATACTGTGCATCGCTCCCTGTAATGTGGCTGGACATGCAACAACCTTACCACCAAAAAGCAGGGCCAGGGAGGATGCGCATTGATGGGATGGGGCATGTTAGCATCCTCCAGCTCTGTCACCCAGTGGTTGTGGGCACACTGTTACCGTAACCAGATACGCATCTGTCATAGGAGGGGGGATGCCTACGTTTTAGCTGTGTAACAGATACTTATGGCATCACCTGGCATTTGCAGAGCCTTTGGTGAGGGGAAGGCACAGCGTTCAAAATTTCATCCCCATCACAGCAAATTAAGCTGATAACTCTTACATTACCATAAATGTACATGGAAAACAATTGATCACAATGTATTTTATCCTGAGCTTTAACCAGTATGAAGATCACTTCCATATTTCCTCCTCAGCCTTCTCTCCTCGACACTAGGTAACCCCTGTTCCTCCTCCACTTCCAGGGTGGAACCCAGAACCAGGCCAGCGCTCCAGCTGAGGCCTCATCCATCTCCAATAAAACAAAGTAACTGTCTACTGTGTCCTTATACTACACTGATGTTAATATAGCCCACAGTGGCAGTTTCCTTTTTTGCAACCACATTATCCACCCATTGATATTCCTCTGTGATCCATCCCAACCGCCAGATGCTCTTCTGCAGTGCTACAGCTTAATTATTCCCTGCTTGTACTCCTGCATTTCATTTTCTTCCTTTGTCTGTGCTGAATTTCATCTTACTGATTTTACATTGAGTTTTAGTGCTTTCCACCTTGCTCAGCCTTGAGTTACTCACAAACTTTACAAAAGTATTGCCCAATTCATCATTCAAGTAATTAACGAAAATAATAAGTAGTCCCAAATAGGGACACAGCTCAGGAAATATACTTGCAGGATTTCTGTTACCCTCCCAGTTTAACAGTGCCATTTTCAGTGACTGACTATGGTTGTGCACATGCTCTCTAGTGATTCCCTCTGGACTATATTTCCCTAAGCTGCTACTGAGAATGTCCCATGGAGCCAGAATAAAAATCAAGATCCAATACAATTACTGATATCCATCTCATGAAAGAAGGAAAAAAGATTGATTTGATTGGCTCTTGATGCACATATATTGGCTGCCTCTTTGAACCTTTTTATCCTCTCAGTTATGATACTTGAGTTGCTTACCTGTTCCCTGGATCCCAGTGTTTTTCTGAGTATTGAAATTAGGTTGCCTTGTGACAGCATGAAGTTGGTGCCTTCTCTTTCCTTCTTTAAGTGTTATGTTGCCCCTCTCCAGTCCCATGGGTCCTTGCCTATCCTCTTACAGACCTTCAAGTAAATGAAGGGCTGACAAAGAGGCACACACTGCAAATCTGACACAGGTTTACCCTCTGGTTCACCCCCTGTGACCAGACTCTACACCCCGAGAGCACCCAAGGCTGGATGGGAGAAGCCATGCCGCATGAGTCCTTGGTGAACTTGCTGCACAGGTTGGAACAAGTACACCAAGCACTGGCAGGGACTCCTTCATGGTCCAGCACGTAAGTCCACATGGCCCAGTGTGAAAGGCTTGTTCCTTGAGATGCCGGGCTACAGTGGATGGCAGGCAGGGAGAGCAAGTCTCCACTGTTCCCATTTCCTCTCGTTATTACTGATTTTAGAGGACAGGCAAAATGTAGACTCAAGACCTGTGTTGTACCACTTGAGACTGTACCCTGAAAATAAAACACTTGAAGGAGTTTATACTTACATCAGAGGCTCCCATGATTTAGGCTTAATGAAGATAGCTATGGGATAGAGTTGTGCAACTTGTAGTCGTTTGATAGCGTTTCCTGACACATCGAGTATACAGTGCTTGCCCTGTTGGAAACAGATGAGGATGTGTTTATTTTTGCAGAGTTTGCTGCAGATCACCCAAAAGATGGGAAGCGACATGGTGCCCTGGAATGGGGCCATTACTGGCACACCAGGGAAGGGGACCCCAGGGCACGCGCTCCAGTTCTCTGCGCTCTTTCCTTTGCTTTGGTGCTAATATAAAATATACACTGGAGATATGGGAACAAACTTTTTACTGGGATGAACTTTGTGGGGGGGAGAGGATTTTCTTCAGAGATGAGGAAAATCAGTTCATAAAAGTAATAGGATGTCTACGTTATTACTGGTTAATTCAGTTCTTGTTTGTGTCAAAGACTCCCTGTGTCCCCTGAGGCAAGTCATTTAATCTTTCCATGCTTCGTTCTTTCTCCTCTGTGAAAGTGAGATAAGTTTATTTACCTCTCTTACAGAGGGAAGAGGGAAGGTTGTTTTGGGGTGTACCTGAGGCGCTATGTTAGATCCCTGAATTGATGGCACTACATCCATGTACAGAAAGCACCAACAATGTTGTCATTCAAAGTCAGAGACTCCACTTGTGGAGTCATTATAAAGCCTATAAATATTAGGATGCTGTTTTGCAGATACTTTATAGTTTTGGGAGAAGAATCACGTCTGAGATACAAAGTGGAAACAAACCAGATCATGTTGCATGGTCAATAAAACTAGTGTCAACCTACCCTTTCTGCCACGAATCTCACAGACTGGACACTAGTTCCATATAAATTATCATTGTACTGCCCAGCTTCTATAAATTTGTGCTCTTGGATATCTTTTTCCATTTGTTCTCTTGAAATGACAAAATGATAATCTCTCCCATCCACTTCATAGTCACGCTTTGGCCGTGTGGTATCTGCATGAAACAAAAGACAGAAGATCAAGAAGTCTGTAAAAATATTTCTTGCAAAAAATGCTGCAATTAAGGTTTGCCCAGCGGACGATGCTGGGTCCGCTGTAAGTGGAGGTGCTCCACATCTGGAAGCATATCTGTGGCTACTACATATTGTTTTCAATGGAGTTATGACAATAAAGCTGTCTTTTTGTAGTAACACCTTCTGATGTTTACCTCCAATCAATACTTACCGGCTAACATAAAATTAGGGTTTACCAGAATTCCAGTTTCAGGATCACACACAAACCTCACATACAAAATGCATTCCAGATTGTAAATCTAATCCTATTACAGAGATAAAATGAATCGCAATCTCATCAATTTAATTTAGCCTTAATTATAAGCCTGATACTAATCTCATCTCTAGCAGTTTTAAGCTGGTATATTTGCAGAGACAACAGTTTAAAATGAAGTAAGACTGCAATCAGGGCTTGAAATAAACACGCAGCAAGCTTTAATGATCCAAGATACAAACACTCGGCTTAATTCAAGGTCCAATATCGCTTTCAGATTAGACAGTCTAGATCTCACACAAATCATAGATTACTCCATATTTTTATTGGTGGATGCTGTGTAATTGAGTTGAAACATTTTACATTTTACCAGTATTTCAAACTTTTATCTTATTTAAAAAACCACAGATTAATTGATGAGTAAACTGAGTTAGTGGCTAGAAGGTTCCTTGTTTAAAAAAATGCTACAGCTTTTGAGACAATTCTTTTGAGAAATTCTTTCCAGAAGAATCACAATCTTTTTTTTGTTTGTTCCTTTCAGCTTTTTTGTCCAATGGAAAAATGGCTTTTGAGAAACCAAACTACATATAGTTCACGGATGCTGCTTTCACAGCAATTTACTTAATGTATGGCACCAAGGGATACAACTCACTCAGCTGCAGAACGAGGAGTGAAATCATACTTACGCGGTACACACGACCCAAACTTATCAGGGAATTCAGATATCAAATCATCGTTGATCCGATCTTTCATAGGACCCAGTATAATAACCGGCCTGGTGTAATTAACTGAACAACAAAAAGAAAAGCACATTTTGATGATCTTACTGGTAATAACAGTAAATCTTTCCAAAGATGCACTAAACCAGAGTTGTTGCATTTTTGTATGAAGTGAAAACTTAGGTGTACATTTTATTGATGGGTAATTTATTTATTGACATGGATAAGGAAAACAGAACAAGTACCACTCATTTTGCAGAGCTCTGTGATGGTGCATGCACATGTAGTCAAACGACTATGTGGAAGTATATGTATTTGCTGTTGCTCAACAAGGCCACTCCCAAATGCTTGCAGATGGACTCTCTCATGAGGCATGGAAAGGAGATTGTAGGATTTTTTCTCCTCAGTTATATGAGTGCATCCCCCATTAAATCAGATGGGTGTGCTCCCATTTTCGGTTTGCCTTCCTGTAGGTTCATCTACCCTGGTTAGAGGCAGATATCACATGAGAAGGAAAGTAATAAAGGCTTCCCATGCAACAATATTGCAGTAAATCTAGAAAATCTGCATCAATAATTTGTAGACTGATTAATGTATTTATTAGTACATGTATTAGGCCATGAGAGCATATTGGGGAGAGTCCTGAGAACGCTAGGAAGCGGGGGCTAGCGAGAGAGACCCTTACATCATTTCTTTTGTATGCGATAGACCGAGTGGCCAAGCAAAAGGAGCCACAGAGAATCTGGGGCTGGCACAGCAAGACTTACTGCTCTGCTGTCCCCCAACATGTGAAATGAAAAATATAAGGAAGAGTGACAGAAAAGCAGATGGAACTTACTTTCCTGTCTTGTGACAGGTTCATAAGAAAGGATGCAGTCTTCTTGGCCTCCTGATGAGAGAAGAAAGAGAAGAGATTGAAGCTGACAAGCAACACATCAAGTACTAAAGCTTGATAAAATGCTTCACATAGAGACAGATCGGTTTCGACACTTCTCTCTGGTAATGCTCTCACCTGAACCATTCCAAAGTCCCTCATAACTTCAAAGTGCAGAGAGCACTTTTTTCCTTCCCTCCCCTGCTACATGTTTCAATTATCTTTGCTGAAATTGGGCTTTTTCAATGATGGGCAATAAGTCTTCATTTTTTGATTTGATAGCAAGGCTGTTTACAAGGGTAGTGCAGAAATTTAAGATGCAATTCTTTTGCTTGTCTGATTGTTAAGGCCCTAATGTGCTGCTACAGGGCAAATCCACAGCTACCTAAACTGAACAATTTTTATTCTCAGAATATATACATTTTGGTTGTTCGTCTTTGTGTGCATAACCTCCATAGTCTACTTTATTCACAGCCTGACATCTAGCTATGACCTATTTGCTGACCCTTATCCTTTCCCTGAACACAAATCTCACAGCATCATATTTTATGCACTTATCCTTCCTCCACTCCTGTTAGGACAGTGCTGTTTCCTCATGGTGACATTCAGGGAACTAAAGCAGAGAAATTTGCCATGAGAAACAAGTAGCACTGTCTGGACCATGATGTGGGTGCAGATGTACAGCCCCGATGCATCACTGTCCTCTCCTCTACGAGAGTGCAGGAGGAGAGGGGGGAGGATTCTTCAACCTACTGCATGAACCATTTCTCTTTCTGGGTCACTGTCACATACTTGGTACCACTTAAGGGCTCTGGCAGGTTCTAAATATGATTTAGGCTTAGCAAAGTTTAAAATTATGATTTTATTTTTACTCATGTCTTTGAGAAGATCCACAGATGGGATTTTGCAACTGATTTAGATACTACAGAACAAAGAGTGTCATAAGGAGTACCAGTGCTTTATAAAATAGAGAGGGTTGCCTTCATTTCATCTGCTTGCACACACTTGAGTCTGTGTTACATTATTCTGGTGGGCTCCTGCCAAACCAAAGTGTGCACATACAGGGGAAGAGTGCTGCCTGACACCTGATGGATGCTATAGGTAGGATTTAGAGGGTCCTACACCTCACCCTGAAGTAGTCTGACTGCTATCTGAGTCACTCTTGAGGCTCCATTAACTATGTTAACAAGATTTGTATTGGATGCAATGCCTAGCTCCCAAGAAGGTACAAAACTTTTTATGGTTTAGTCTTAAGCTGACTCCCACCCCATGAATCTGGTATGTTGATAGATTTTTTTTTTTGTGGTATATTATCTAGACAGCTGTGAGAAATGTGTAAGAAAGCTTTTCGAGTAAAAATAATGTTGTAATTAAGGACAATGACAGAAAAAGCAAATTAAAAAATGTACTGATGTGTTAGGAGAGAGAGAGAAACAGGCAGGGCCAACTCCAACCTAGCAATAGTGCTGAAGCAGCAAAGGAGAAAACATAATTTTTAATGAAAGGAAGACATTAGACAGCTTTTGAGGGCAAGACAACATAACATATGAGGAGTGTGGATAATGGATTTTCTTCTCTATTTGCAAATGTTTGATACTGTAATCCCTTGCTTAACTTTGGCTTTTTGCAAAGTTAAAAACCTAGAATTATCGTTACACTAGGTTTCACACATCAGATTCTCCCTTTCTCCGGGAATTTTGGAGGTGATATAAAACTCAGGATGTCCCATTCACCTGGAGATGAAACAATTCCTTCTCCAGACTGGATGAGGATGCTCCTGCACTGAGTGCCCTCCAGCCCCCAGGAACCAAGGTTATGCTTTCCCCCAGCCTGAGAAAGTCAATCTTGGGGTGGACGATGAAGCCATCATGTACTAAGCGTGTGGAGGGGAGCCTGTTTATACAAATACAATCTTAAACTTGAAAATACTTGTTTCAATGGCATACAGATCTGCAGAAGAGGATTCATTTCAGCTAATTTCAGAAACCTATATCGTGACTGCTTATGTCTAAGCTAGTCCCTAGGTACCCTTTGGAGTCAATGGGTGCCTACAAATACGCAACTGCTTATTCTAAGACGTGAGTCATCTGACCTATTTTAGATGTCTACTTCGGGATGAAAGAAAAAGTCAGAAGGGTGTGTTTGTCTCCATTGTCCCATAATGGCATTTAAACAGCGAGGTCAGATGCAGACATCTGCATTTAAACAGTAGAATCCCATGGGAGTGGCAGTGACAAGAGCAACTGAAGGAAAATAGCCAATAACTCCGACGCTATTGTTTAAAAATTTTTCTGTGGGCTAGTATTTGGCTTTGGCAAATTATAACCAGCACAAATAAGACAGCACAGATTTTACCTTCTGTTTTGCCCAGTCCCTGGCAGACACGTTCACATGCTAAAGCTGTCGTTACCTCCACGCTGTCAGTCGGGTATGGGCTATGGAGACAAACGAGCCTGTCGTTTCACAGAAGTCTTGTGAAACTGTGGCCAGACTGAAGGCAAAGAAGCACTCAAATTGTGCTGAAGCTTAAGCCATTGGAAAGGGTTGCAGCAAGTAAGGAGAAACTTTGAGGCTGACTGTGAGACACAGGGACTTAAAGATAGATATCTGCCTGAGTGAAGGCTCTTCAGCACTGAGTTTCAGGCTCAACATGGAGTGCGAGCGTGGGGGAAAGCTGCACCATTTCCACTACTTTTCTTTTCTGGAAAAAGGGCTCAGGAAGCTCAAGTTTTTATGTGAATAAAATCCTTCCAAGTACTGTCCAGACAAAATCCTGTAAGTCTCAGAGGCTAACCTGCATGTTAACTGTACCAGATGGTATTCTTTAACGATCTCTACTCACTCAGTACTGCACGGTTTTGCAGTAGTCCATAAAGTATTAAGTATAATGAAGAGCTCTAGAGTCAATCAATAGTCGGATTGCTATAACCTTGTGATGGCTTTGAGGTGGGAGGCACAGTGTGAAATTCAGCCGGACACGGACTCTTATTGATCATTTGACTAAGCCTCATTTACCACCAACATTAACGGCTTAATTAGCACAGGTTAGCTATATTGATCTGGAAAATCTTTGTGAAATTTAACAGACAAAACAAAAAGAGAAAAAAGAAAAAGCCCAAAGGATTTTGTCATGATCCCTTGTTCTTCAGTAAAATTCCACAAAGTCAAAAAGAGAAGAAAAGAAAGAAGATAAGGAAAGAGAAGAAAGAAAAAGGAAGCTTTCCTAAATCTAATATTCTTACAAGTAAAATTATTGGAGGGCTTTCAGTTTCCGAGGATCGTTATGGCTCTGCTTCCCTTTGTTCTTGGTTTGCCTGTTGGTGAGTTCTTGTGCTCAGGAAGAGAAGAATAACCTGGAGTTTGTTATAATGCACAGCCTCTGTAAACCGGGCTGAGAGGTTTTGTGTGGTCAGATGACTTTCATAAGGACTACTAATTTCAACTTTTTAAAAGATTTTATGGTGTTTCAGAGGAGTAGCCCTAAAATGGATTTAAGGTGTTGCCTCTGTTTTCCCTTTCTGGTTAGATGGCAGAGAGTCTGTGAAAGACTCAAAATCACAGTTTTGGTGTAGACCTGGCAGATATCAGGCTTTTTTCATGTAACCCATAAAAAGGCCCCATTTCCTATTGTCTTGCCAGAGCATCCAGACCTTCCACAGTGCTGGTGTAACTGCACCCAGCATGTGAGTGACGGGGCAGGAGAGCTGCTGTGAGCTGCTGTGGTGCAGCCACCGTGTAACCAAACGCCCACCCTCATCGAGTACCTTATGCTGTGGGAATCCATGGATTTTGGCATCCTATTAATGGCTGTGAATGAAAAAATCTGTAAAGGGTTCTAAGGCAGGGAATAATAAAAAAAGTAGTACTTATGAAGACAGGTAAAAATTATTTATGACTTTAGAAAAATCAAAGGGAATTTTTGTGTTCATTAAAATAGCTGGACTAATGGTGGCAGTTACCATCAATACACATGTGAAATACATGTAGATGAGACAAATTAATTCTATTTTTGAACCCTTGCCTGAATTTTGTTGCTCAGCTGGATCTAAAATCAAAGAAGGCTTATTTTTCTGTCACCATGCATTTTGGTTTTGGGCTAACATGGATTACCTGTGTTGGATTGGCAAGATCTTGGAGAAATCAATTTCTTGTTTTGTTTCATCTGCACGGACTGCACCGGACAGTCAATATCCTAACCTCTATTTGGCTCAAAATCCCTTTCCTGAACCTCTGTTTTTGTAAGTAAACACATTACTTTTGGAAATATGTTGATAGCTATGAAAGACTGTAAATCCAATACATAAAAGGATCATCAGTAGTCTGAGAATGAACTTATGACTGAAAAGTGGTCTATCGGCACTTTATGTTTAAGATCAATATAGCTTGGGAGGGCAGAAAATGAGACTTCAATACTTGTGCCAGTTTGAGTGTGCCTGAATAATATAGTAATCCTTGGGGAGTGTAAGAGCCAGCGTAGGTGTCCTAATTAATCAGTGGCCTAACATAATTATCAGGACTCCTTTAACCTTGTTCTGAGTCTTCAAATCTCATTACAAGAGTGACTTGCTGAGAGAGGGTAAAAATCTTTGTTTCTAACAATTTTCCTTATTTTTAACTTTTAGTCATGTATTGCCTCTCTAGGTAATTGGTGCAATCACAACCAATTATGCAATTAGGCTAAATAGATGTGGTAATGTGTGTGTAATTTTGATGACAGCTATAAAAACCTTTACTGAATTACGTGTAAGAGCATACCACACATATGCAGTAGAGAGACTTGAAATTCATGGCCATTATGAAAATCATGTCTCACAAAATAAAAACTGATGAGTCCACGATAAAAAATACGTTCTTACAAGCTTGGTTTGAAGAAGAAATCAGAACATTTTAAGTTACAGAACTCAAAATAAACTTTCAATCATGGTTTGATTAGCTGGTTCAGAGATAAGTCAAAGTTGGCTGTATATATCTTTATCACAACAAGAACAATTTTCTGCTAGACCAGGACTTTATATACCACTCTTGGTTTTACTGCTGAGAACAGGTGCAAATCAACTAACATGCTTATAGCCTTCATATTAGCGTGGCCAATATGACGCAGTAGCAGCTGTGTGGCAGCTCAGCCCCTTTTAGATCAGGCCAACATGTGTTCCTCGCTCAAAAATACTTTCTAATTTTTATAAAGGGCCAAATTCTGCTGTCAAATGTATTTGTGGTTCGCCCTGAAGTTAACGGAGCTGAAGGTTATTTGCTGGGAGAAAGAAAATCCCATTGTTGGCTCCAGCTCTTTTGCTCATTACAAACCCAGCGTTGAGAGCACTGGCAGGAGAAATCATGTTTACTACCTGTAACAGCCTTGTTGCTAAGAAGTGGTCAAAGAATTTTCTCTTGAGACCACGTAGGAGGACTTTCAATTATATTATTATTTTGAAATAAAAAGTATCTGACTTCTGTAGAAAAGTTGATTTTTTAACCCCCAAGCCCAAGACATGAGCAATACTTCAGCCAGATACTCAAATTTTTAAGCAATATATTTTTCTAAATAAATATGAATGCATCAGAATATCTCCTAGAAAAAGCCCAGTCAATTTGTAACTCCTCTATTAATCACTGTCCAGGGCACAGCCTGGACAGCTCTCAGAAGCCTTCAATATCACTTTGGGTAGTTGTACCCCTGGTTTGGAATGGTTCTAGGAATGATCAAGTAGTACAGGTTTCAACACTAGCTACTACTACTACTTTTCACTAAAATGCTCATCGTGAGAAGCAAAAGTTAGAGAAACACGTTAAAGCAATTGCCAGAGACCCACTAGAAAAAATGTAGAACCCGTCACTCTGGACTCCAACTGGCCTGTTTTTATAGGGACAAATATAAACGTCTGCAGGAGAATGCGTGGCACTTGCCAGTCATTTCTTACCCACACACTTTTCTTTGTGCTGGCCAAGGTGTGAATTGCTGGTTTCCCACAATTCAGAAAGCAGTGGGGCAGACCACTCCTTTCTTCCTGCTCATTTGCTTGGGAAACAGAAGAGAAAAGGGGCACTGGGACAGGGTCACAACCCCATGCAAAACCCTTGAGCTCTCCAGCAGTTTTCTATTTGCTCCCCATGCATTTTTCAGTGTCATTTTTTCTTCTTCTCCTAGTATGCCCCATTTCACCAGTGCACAGACTGAGGACTAGATGAGTTTGCAAGTCAACACACATGGTGTCCTGGCAAAATAATTTGGTTCTGTGGTGGTGACTGACGTTAGGCCCTGTTCCCAGCTACCCAGATGCAAACAGAAGAGCAGAAATAATAACTGCATGGTGTCTTACTCTGCCAGGAATGAGCTTCACCCTGTATTTTTTTCCTTTCATTAGGAACAATTAAATTAGAAGGCAGTGAGGAATACGTCTTTAGGAAATGTTCACAGACTAGGTCTAATAATTACTCTTCCCACATGAGAGGTATTGATAGGTTTCTACTGTGCAGTGTCCTCTCTCAACAGTCCCAGAAGGTCAGAACTGCAGTGAAATAAGACACCTTCTTCATGGCAGGCCTCATCAATCTTATCTCCATGCCCTCACAATTTGTTGACCTCTCTGACCATTCACCTCTCGCTCTCCTCTTTCTAATTCTTCTCTGCTCCCGAGTAATTATTTTTCTAGGGGGGATTTGCTGTAATGAGCCATGCAATGGGACGTACTGCTGGCATAGGGTAGCCTGGAGATGCAGAGAGTAACCAGCTGGATTCAGGAGGGCTTTAAGTCCTCACAGGAGATATGCTGATATACCATGGCCATGTGGTAACTGAAGACACAGTCAGGCTAGAGTTGACATGCCATCATGGCCATCTGAAACAGTAGTTTCCAAAAGCTGGTGACCAAAGTTGCTGGTTGCCCAAGGTTATGCCTTCAAATGTCATATCAGCACACACCAATGAATCATTCGCAAACTAAATTAGGCCCTTTGGGAACCAGCTCCTGGATTTTAAAGCTGCTTTCAATTGGCATAACCTAAAGTTGGCTTCCTCTGCTGCTAAATGGCATAGCTCTCCCATGGGCAGAGAAGGAAGTCCTGCCTGCATCTTCTACACCAGGCAGCAATTGTTGGACACACCAGTAATGCATGGGGAGCTCCAGCCAACAGGATGTAGGCTGGATGCTGCTGGGGTGAGACAGGAGCTTGCCCAGATGGAAACCACCCTAGAAGGAGAGTGCCTGCCATGGCGTTGTTACCTCAACACTACTTTTCCTTCCAAGTATCTATGTCCCAACTTCCCCAAACCATTTCTATCCCCTTTCTTGTACCTCAAAACATACACTTTGTTTCAAGCTATTGCACAGCCAACAAGGAAATGGCTACCTGGCCTGTCTTATGATGAAATTTGGGAATTAGCTTTTGTGGACCTGCCCCAAATGTTTGGCTGCAACTGGGCACCCTTGTGAAGTCTCCTGTTTGGGATAGTTCATCAGGCATGGGATGTGGTCAGCTACCAGCCTAGATTCTCCTCTGGGCTTTTACCTTGAGCTCACCCTGAAATAAACACACCTGGAGGAGATTTGACTCATGCAAACTTTTGAAAATTTAACCTGTTGACTCATTCCTGATTGTAAAGTCAGGAGGAAAAAGCATCTTATATTTCAAACATAAAATCCTCCTCTCTTTCTCAGTAGAGGACACTAAAAATAAAGCAGTGCAGAATTGGATCCTGGCAGTTCAAGAGCACCTACTGTTTTCTTGTGACTCTGGCAATTGCTTTCAAAGGAAACCTTTGCAATACAAGAGAATACAAACTAATTTACCATTACTGAATTGCATAAGATTAGCTGTTTTACTGAAACCAGTGTTTATTAACAGAGCTCAACTGCTATGCGCTATATCAAGACTAGTAAATATGAGGTATGACACCAATGATTACCTGAATGTATGCGGGTGCTTAGCACAAGTGCTGAGCGACTGGTGGAAAACTTGATTTGCTAAGCAAATGGCTTGAAAAAATGAAACAACTGGGTGATTTAGTAAGCAATCTATCATTTTAATTACCTTTTATTACATTTCCAGTCATTTATTTAATGCCTTGGGTTTTTTTGCTTTTCAGCACTTCCAGAATAATAGTTATATTGGTTAATTTTTTTGGTATTACTAATGATTACCTAGAATGTACAATCTGCTCTTGGCTATATGACCATATGGAGTCTGTAATTCAAACCAAATCAGGTTGCAGGGTTGGGACTTCCACTTATAGGGAATCAGTGACATTCAGTGGCAGTGCCTAAGGGGTGAAGTCACCTTTTGAAGACTTCAATATGCATTAGGAAATCTGTACTGCCAAAATTAAGGGCTCAACAAATTTTTGGGATTATTTCCTAGTCCTTCATACAGGCATGTAGAAATGCACGTAAAAATTGTGACCTTGTAAAGAGGATGCCTTTTGCAGATTTGACCACAGCTATGGAGTAATTTTAGTATTAAAAGATCATCAAGAAACTGCCCCCTCCCTGTTGAAATAAACTTCTTGTACCTAAACCAAATAATCCTGACTTTCACAGGCTACCCAAAGCCAGGTTTGGTTTTATGTCCCAGAATACATCCCAAATAACAACCTTTCTCCCTTTTCTTATAAAGGTTGCCAGTTTTCTTTTATAGCTTTGTACTCAAGATGTGCTTGTAAATTTGAATTCCAAGCCATTTGCTCCATCCGTCTTTTTAACATTAACAAAAGAGTAGCAAGGAGAGAAACAAAATAAAAGAAACAAACAGAACAAGCAATGCAAAGTAAAAGGACTCTAATGAAAGCAGTAACTTACTGTAGCTACTTTCACTATCGCTGGCATTAGAAGAAACATGTTCTGCAAGAACAGTACAGCAAATTAAAGAACATAACCAAGCACCACAGAGCTGCAGAAACTTAAAAGAACTGCCACAGTCATGCAAAGAGAGTTGCGCAGAGAGGAAGTAAAAACTATGCAGTGACATCACCTGAAAACTCTCAGATAATTTACGCAGGTAAAATGAAAGCTTTCTCTCGTATGGCATTTCAGAAAGAGACTATATGTATTAGCTAGTGATATGTGTCTTGGCAAAGCCATGTCTTTTCTTGATGAGACAGTTAATAACATCTCAGATAACTTAATTTCAAAGTATATTATGATCCACTTGCATCTTACTGGACGTCTTGAGTAATTTCATGAAACCTGAGTGTCTGCTCATATTATTCTGCACTATCAGTAACGTGCATCATTAATGCATTGGAACTATTCCTGCTAAACTGCTAACCTATGTCCATCTTTGATCACACTCACCTGCAACTGCCTCTAAACATTCCCAGTGAAAGAAGGAACTCATAAAAGCCAAGAATCCCCTGGGATGAACCCAGAGTAGACCATGCATGGATGTCATGAAGGATGACTATGGGAACAGTGCCAAGACCACCTCTTCTCTGCAATGTGTGTGTTTCCCCCACATACCAGTCTAATGGCTTGGGGTTCATAGAGTGGGACTGATGGGGTTACTGGAGTAGCAGAAATGCGAGGAGATGATATCTGATAAAAATATTAATGGAAAACTTTGATCTTGGGCTTAGTAAGAAGCTTTAAAAAATTAAACTTACATTTTGAAAAAAACAGTATATTGACTTTCAGACATTTCATAGCAAGTTAAAAATGGTTGTCTCAAACTAATATGCTATACAGGACCTTGAAGAAATTTATTAAACAAGAACAAATATCCTTCATAATAACGGTTATTAAAAAGCATATCTGAGTTGAATATTAGTGAAATTTGGATGGTCAGGAATGTCTGGATGTGTGTCAGTAATTGGAAGCTAGCTGTAATATTAATAGAGAAACTAGAGCCTATATAATACCTCTGTGCTACTTTGCCCATAGCAATTTGCAGAATTCAGTTATCTCCTTTCAAATGGTTGGAGATTTGTCTTTGTAAGGACACAGGTATTCAGGAGGGTTATCAGATCAGAAATACTCTACTTCTCTTTAGGCAGGGGAGGATCTGCATTTGTTGCTAGTGAGCTGCTGTGACACTTAAAGTAGCAGAATGGTTAAAATTCAGGTGGCAGTGACATTTGCTGTCTATCACTGACAAAACTAGTCTTGCAGAACTGTTCTTCTTCGTACAAGAGATGAAGCTTTCATCTTTAAATTGTGAGCTACTCTATGGCTTGAAGTTAAACCATTAAAGTGTCCCTTCAACAAATCAGTCATAAATGGAATAATCTGTAAAATTGTGTGCATGTCAATTAAAAAGCACATACAAAACAGTAGGCAATGCAGCGTTAACATTCACACACATTGCTCCAATTACTTGGTGCTTAAGAGAAAGAATAAGAACTGAGGAAGAAGCAGCCAAACACATGCAAGTGTCATTTTCTTTAAATTATGTAGATCTGGATACAGAATATAATGCAGCTATTTATATAGAAATCAGCTGCAAATATTTCACTCTATACAATTTTTCTAGTCTAACTTTCGAGGAAGCTAAGTTGCTTCTGACATGTGACACATTCTGCAATGCCAAGTCTTGAGACAGGATTGCTGCATCAGAAAAATAAATTGATTAAGGTTGCATGACAGAGAATAGGTTGCTAATGGTGAAATGGGTCCAGAATTAGCTTTGGTGAAGGAATGGTCTTCTCTAGCCTGCAAATGACTTCTTCCATTAATAACAAATACTAATCTAAAATCCAGCAAAGTAACAAACAGTCCCATGCAAAAAGCTGAAAATGCAGAAGCAACAGCATAAAATAATTTTCTATTGATCTCCTCAGGATGTGATCAACTTAAATTGTTTAACTTTCCCTTGAGGTGGAGAGGGAGGGATTGTTGCTCTAAAGAACAGTCTAGGCAGCAAAACGAGTTCTAGGTATGCTACTCTACAGAACTGCCATGATGGGAACAATAACATACTGTCAGAAACAAAAGGTGTTATTACAAAAGAAGAGAAAGCGTCTGCTTGATACACTGTATGTTATTTAATATCGTCATGCAGAACAAAACGATTGAAACATTTTTAATGCATTCACAACTGGGTAACAAATAAAACTCTATCTTGTGCATGCTAGGAGTGGAGGGTCCTCAGAGAAGGAACAGAAGCCAAAACAAAACAAAACAAAAGAAGATTTACAGTGACCATTCCTGGGAACTTACTCAGAGTCTTTGTTCCATAACCGTCGTCACCTAATCCGGGGATGTCCTGCACGGAAGTCCCCAGAGAGAGCAATGAGAAAGGAAGAACAGCCGCAGAAGAGGAAGGAAGAAGTCAGTGGAGTTGAAATGGATACTACCATGACTGACCATGTTGATTAAGCAATCTGGATCCCTGCTTTTTCTTTCTGAAACAACTTTAAACCCATATTCTATGGGAACACAGCCAATGAAAGAGGCAGTGACCGTTATACATGGCTTTTGGAGCTGTGAGGAAAAAGGAACAACCCAATAAATAAAGTCCCAGAAATGGTTCTCACCGGATAAATTTAGGAGAGAATTATTAAGAAAAAAAAGTGAATATTTGGGCTTGGAACCAGCATATATTTTTAATAATGCTGGTTCTCTATACAATTTAAGGAAGCAGTAAATGCCCAGGGAGATACACATTCCAAGATCTGATTTACTTCTTCAAGTAAGTGTTAGCATGAATGCTTCATTTAATTTTCAAACTTTCAGTGAAGCTGCCCATGGCAATCAACTTGGAGAATGTCAAAGGCAAAAAAGAGATTAGAGCAGACCTTTTAGAAGGTAATAATTTAGTTTAGTATTGTGAAAGAAATCACGTTTGTGTTATTTTGAGCCAGTTCTGATCTGGGAATATTTAATCAGAGACAAGTTTGGATTTATGACAGGTGCCACAACAACTTTGAGGAACCGCATTTGCTCTTCCAAAAGTTAAGGTCACTGTTTTATTCTTCTGAAAATGATGTTTCCAGGGAAGGAAGGACCAGCTGGATCCAAACTGCAGTCACACATTGGTCACAGTAGTAATACCTCTCCTGCCTGCCTACGACAACTATTTGCCTAGATGTGTGGGGTAGTGGTATCATGCGTGTCACCCATTTTATGTGCTGCTGCATGTGACATCGTCTCCAAGAGGTTACTTACGTTCTGGATCACTTGTTTCCTGCTCACTCTGCTCCTTGCTCTTGTAGAATGGGAATTTTCGTGAAAAGATGAAGTTCTTTTTACGCTTGTCATTGAATGACTGTGAAGGAGAAAAGGCATGGGGCAAAAACAGGGACGTCTAATTGTTGTCACACTCATGCTGACAAAACAACTAGTTTGTAAAAGTGGAGAGAACTGTAGTGACTCAAATCAGTCCAAACCAAGCGGCTGCAAAGAATCAGAAGTGGTTGCAGTGAGGTCTGCAGGTTGAAGGCAAAGCCCCTGGAGACTGGATCGATTTGATTACAGAGGTCTCAAATCACAACCTTCAGCTCCTTATTTGGAAACTGTCGTGTTTGGCTTGTTCAGATAAAGGGCTACAGATGGCTCAGCATGCTTTGAGATCAAGCCACTCATCTTTAATCATGGCAGACTGTGCACAGAATTAATTAACTGGCTGAAAAAGAATAGGCTGTAAAGAGGGAAGCAGAAGCCTTTGATTTCCTTGTAGTAGGTATGCGAATTCAGCTCTGTGCCAATTAAAATAAAATATTCTTTTCTTGTAACTGTTGCTGATTTCATAGTGTTTTATTTGGCCTCTTAATTGACAACTTCTTAAGTGTGTTTTAATGCCTTTTTTTCATAATTTAAGAAAAAATACTTTGTTTTATTTTATACGTATGTATTTACTCATTACGTTCCTCTGGATATGCTTTTAGTTTTATGTGATTTAGAGATGGAATTCTGCTGATAAGCAGTATTTCATTGCATGTTGAGCAACTTATATTTCTTTAATTCTTCAAACGGGGAATTAATATGGAAGGAATTGGGTTTTTTACATGATAAAACCTTTGACTTTATAGATAGTTGCAAGGGCTCATGGCACTGTACTATGTAAAAGCAGGATATGCCTGCTTGGGACATCTATTTCAGATACTAAATGAGGAATTAGGGTCCCTATACAGTCAATTGAAAGAAGCTGGTATTTCCAGAGGGCACTTATATGGAGCTGCAGATAGTGCTTATCTGAAGTGGTCTGTGTCGTCCATCAGACAACGTCCTACACTGTTTCCTATACTGAACATATGCAATGCCCAGACACATGACTTTGCAAGTGATCACCTCCAAGAGAGCAGAGACCTTCTTAACTCATTTAAAGGACCAATTTCATGTGTTTGTCATTGCTTGAATAAAATATAACCAGTATTGGGCTCCAATTCTGAAATGGAATAGATTTAGAGTTTCAGAACATAATTAATTTTCTTACATTTTGGAAGCACAGCATAAGATGTGGTTTAGAATATGTATTTCTGAAAGATGTGAAATTAGGTACTGAAAATATTAAAATAGTTGTCTACTTGTGTCACGGAAGTTTCATGCCACTTTTACATTTCAAGCATATTTAAAGTTCAGTAACTGAAAACAAAGGAAAAAAAAAATGCACAGGTAGAATAAATGATCCATGAAAATCTCTCAGAGTATGTAAACATTCAATGTGAAATTAATGTGGAGGTCATGCACAAATAATCCAGACAGCATGCAATTTCAAAATAAAGCAAATATGAAAGAAAGCCAGAGGAAAAAAAAAATGCACATGAAGGATTAAAGTAATCTGTGGATGAAAAGAGGACTGACATGCATATTACATCACTTTAATGACCTAAAGGATATAATTAAATTAAAATGTGTTTTCTGTGATCATCTCTCTTATTTTTCCAAAGAAAGGAATGTAGCATGTTAACATTTCCCATTGTGAAAATGCTGTTTGTTATGATTCATCTGAATTTGACATAGTAATACTATAGGCATTACACTTAAAAAGGGGAAAAAAAAAATATATACACAATAGCACCTCAAAAAACAAAGGGGTTTTAAAATGACAATCACTTCATTACCAAATGCCATTTCACTTTGGAATTAAAGAGAATGTTATCAAATTGATAAATAAACATGCTGTGTTTCACAGAGATTATAAGATAAATAACACTTATAAGTATTCTTCTTCAATGTTTTATCCAACAGTCTATGGCAAAAACTTCAGAAAGTCCATTTTCACCAGAAAAGCATATATTTTTTTCAAGCTTATGCATGATCTAACAGTATATTCCAAATTAGACAGATATACACTATAGTGTTATATGAACTTTTTCTCCTTTTGCAATTTCAAGTATTGCATTGCCTTTTTAATAAGATATTGTTCCACTTCAATTTGGACAATCAAAATCTGGCAATTCATAGCAGGTGACTATTATGTCCAACTGTGTCACTGCATTTACATCAGTAAAAAGCTTTGCTCCTAAAATAAAGCTGACTATTAGTTTGTTAATATCCATAGGCAAATATGTTTATGCATGTGTTAATATTTCTATGGATTGATCAATGTGTATATTCACGTTAATGACCATATATACTATCACAATGTAGTTGTAGTGATTTATATATAAAATAACAAAAAAACCTGTAAAATATTATAAAAGACTAAACTGGGTCTGATCCTGCAAACTTACAGAAATAACTAGTCCTTGGTATTAACTGAATGGGCTTACGAAGTGTTTATTTTCTTGTACATTAAGTCCGTGTTGCTTCAATAGAAACCAAAGACTTGATTTTGGTTTTGTATCCAATATAAATGTGACTAAAATCAGGCTGATGGTCTCCACCCTAAGGATATGAAATCCTGCAGACATCCAGCAAAATGCTTCTTACAGATACCACAATATATATCTCTAATGTATAGAGATAGGGGGGTTGGCAAAGAGACAATAGGGATACTCATAGGGAATAAAACCATGTTTTTATTAGACACACTGTGTTAACTCCAGATTTTGTTCTGTTAGTGGAGGAGTAGAGACCAACACTGAATTTCAAGAAAGGATCATGCATGTGAGGAATGGTGGTAGGGTTAAACTACAAAATTCAGATGTATGTTTTTGAGAGATTTTATTTCTATAAAATGGAAACTTTGACACCTGTCAAATATTCTGGAGCCAGTTTCCACAGGGTTTCCCTATGCTGCTGGAGAGGTGTGAAATAGTCATAGGATAAATGAGAGAGAGGTATTTGCCTACCTCTCTCAGCCCGATGCAGAAGTTGCATGCAACTGGAATTGAAATTGTGATATCAAGCTTAGGCTTGATTCAACAGTATTTATGCAGGCAGAGTTTCTGAAAGTCAGTGAAAAAGTGCCTGAAAATGGATTCCTATATAAGTTGTGATTTCTTTGCCATAAATATTGTAAAATCCTGTAAAGGCAAATAACTTGGGCATTTCAGTTGCAGTGACAAACCCGTACAATAGATTATTTTTATACCTCACTGCCATCAGTTCACGCTGACTACCACTAACCTAGGAACTGGCAGTAGTAGGCACTTTATATAGACAGGTGCCTAAGACTAAAAGGCAAATGACATTTTCAAGTACTGTTTGACAACTGAACAGTGAGGTCATTCTTCACACCATTTGAACTGTGATGAAAAAAAGAGTCTTTTCTCAGAAAAAAAGGGGAGAAAAGCTTGAATTCTTGTTTGATACTACCTGGGCATAGACTGTGTTTTGAAGAAGCCAGAAAAAAATTGTGATGTGCAGTCTTGCTTGACCAAATATCCCCACATGTCCCCAGTTGTGTAAGTCTGGCTTACACATACCAACCTTCCCTGGTTGTGACAGACATCAAGACACTGTGTGTTTCTTCTTCTTAAGAACTCCCTTCAGATTTTTTTTGTGTCAGCATCAGTTTTGTATTCTAAATGCTTTTCCCTAGGTGCAGAAGCCATATATATATATAGATATATGTTACTCATCAGCTAATAGGATAGTGTTTTTTTAAAGGAAATTTTCCTGTAACATTGAATAAACAATCCAGTTTCAAAATTTGCTTTATAGTGATGAACATCACAAAGAATAGTGCATCAGTAATTTGATAGTTGTACCATATTGCAATAGGCAACTATATCATTGTTTACTTTGAGCTTCTTCTCAATTTTTTTTCACAATGTAGCTGATCCAGCCCATACTGTTCAGTGCAGATGTGCTCGTGATAGAAGTTGTCCTCTTTATGCTTTGCAGAAGAGTCTAATATGTTGGGGAAAGATTTCTTTTGATGCTCTAAAAGCTCTAAAAACAACGATATCTTCTAAAAGCCATTAAACTCCCGAATATATTGGGAATACTTTATTTTGCTATTTCATTCAACCAATGCTAATCCTCAGTCATGAGTTGGGAACCAGTGTTCAGGGATCACCTGAGAAAAAGCTGTTCCAGAGCACTGGCTGTGAAATTCTTTTATACAGGGTGTAGATAAATTTCATTTACCACCTATTTTTAGGCAGGTTTGAGCTAAGCTTTAGCCTAATTTTTATGGTACGTGATTATGTGTATCAGTCTTGTTCTGAGATTGGTCTAGCAGTGTATATGTGTTCATTCATTTTGCTGCTTCTCATCTGCCATAGTTTTTTTGATTCTTTTCCTTTATTACCTGTTTTTGGCCTAACTTAAATGAAAAGCCCTCACTTACACAGCATTCTGTAAAAATATACAAAATTTATCAGCAACATTATGTCCCTGCAATCCTTTTCTCTATATTTAATTCACACTTTTTGTATTAGGGACATTCTTTTACTCTGTTTGAACACCGACTTTAATAAAGGTTTGGGCACTCAAACACTGTTAAATCTCTCCCATCATACCGAAAAGTTGCACTGATACCAGAAAGAAAAGTTTTGGGCTGTAACAGATACTCAGTGTCATTTCTCCTTTCAAATATATATATCACCTCTCTGCTTCTATAGTGGGCTTTTTCACTTAGCAATAGAAATGCATGATGAATATGAAGTCTCCAAAACAAACTTTTGAAGACAGTCCTGTATTAGTATATTTGCTTTATGTGAAAAGTGGTTTTGCAGTTAGCATGGCAGCATGGTCTGGGGAACATGGGTCAAACTGCACTTTGGGATCTTCTGCCTCATTGTCCCATCTGCAATACCAGGAGCATAGCAGTGCCCTCCTTACAGGCACTTTGTGGGGTCTAGGTCAACTCTATGACCTGGTGGATACTATCACTGAGGCCACGGTAGTTTCTTTTATTAAGATAATGAGGTATAC